CACAGGTCTTAAGGGTACATCAGCCGAACCATACTCACGGCCCCTGGCATCTAGCATCTGACGTGGCTATACGCCTTTGAGGGAGCATCCAGGTGGCATCCAAAGATTTCGCATTCGCTTTGCCAGACAGGGACAGACGAGCATTGCAAGCACACGCATTGATCATGTAAAGAGTACATATGAGGTCTTGAACCATTGAATTGCCAAATTTATGTAAACGAATGACCGGCCTCTCGTAATCCTGCAATGATCTTTATCCAATGTCCTCAGGGGCAGGACTTGAGCAGTCATACCGCCTATGGACGCACGAAGCCTTAGTCCAACTTGGATGCTCAATAACTGACAGAGTACTTACCCAGGCCATTAATCCATCGACGTCTAGCAGGTACACTCGCAGCAGATGGTCATGCCGCACCAGCTGCAAGGGCAACTAACGTCGCATCGAGCCTCCAGATGCGCGCGCTTGACCATATCGATGCTGTGGTCAGCGGGGTACTGGATGAGGTTCGAGACTGGAGCAGGACTGCGGTCGCGAAGCTCACTGGGAGCAGCGCTTCCGAAAGACAGGAGGGCGATGAGGGGGAGACCGAGAGTGGTGAACTGCATGGTGTTGATGTATGTGTTTTGAGGAAAACGATGGGAAGTTGGTAAGTTTGTGAGTGAATCTGCGAGCTTGTTAACGAGCTAGATGCCATCACCTACGGCTTATATAGATGCTGAAGCTCATCAAAATCTACAAGGTCGTCGTACTGAGCGTGCTGCTCTTCCAAAACGGACCGCGATGCCGACGAAGTGTTCATCTGCTGACGCTGCATATAGACTTGTGGTCTTTCTGCATACACACGAAGAGGTTTCGGGTTGTCGGTGAGTCGATCTCAGACTGGAGTAGAGTAGCATTTCCCGAATAGAGGCAGAGTTGCACACACACTGCTAGTAGATTCCACTGCCTACCCACCATCTCCATGCAACGCGTCAACCCCCTCTCTTTAGCTTGCTTGCCTTTACGAGAAGCTCATCGCAGTAGAGCTTGCAGAAAGAGCACTCAGCCTTTCGCTCGTCGACACGGATCGTCGAATGAAGTTGTAGTCTCTGCCGTAAGCCAACACCGGATGTACGCAGCTAACAGTATGGACATGCAAGTGAGCGTTAGACTTGAATCAACCAAGCTTTCCAAGCTTAGCTTATACGCAATTGCCTTCTCACAATGACCACTTGGACGCGTTGGATCTTAGTAGCGAAATGTGACACTGACTAGTGCTGGATATTCTTCTCCGCAGGACCACCACACTAGGACCTATATTAGTGTCCAACTAGCATTCATCTTATCGCCACTACTTTCCAGTCTTTCCTCTCTTCGTAACTCAGTAGGTAAGTTATGTACTGAGAAATTTGCCCACGTATCCAGGTACAAGCCACGACCATACACAACAAAGCCCAGCAGATGTCTAGCATCTACAAGGAAATACAATTCTTGAAGCAAAAGATGTCAACGACTAAAAGCGGCGCCTGCACCCATCATTGACTATCACCACCTCGATTGAACCTAGCCAACGCCACGAGCAAAAGTTGATAATTGACACCCTCCCCCACCATCTCAACTTTACTGTTTCAAGCAGTAGTACGACGCTTCACACCCGTAGTCAGCATCGATATAGCCTAAACTGCGTGCAAAGCAGAAGGTACGGGCCGCTCGCAGGCTGGGGTTGGCGGGTACAACCGCTCGTGACCATTGCTGATGGCATTTTACTGCACGTCTACCGTATCCCAGGAAGAAGGTTATGCTGATTAGGAAGGTTGCCGTACATAGGTGCGATAGCTTATGGCGGGTTGCGGAGGAAGAAGCCGTCAGGTGTGTGTCAGCTTACACCCGACCACCACTAGTATACGTGCGCAGTAGGCACTTTGACATGATCAGAGTCATGATGTATTGCTGAACCGCTGGAGCCAAAAAGCTGAAGAGGGGTCTAGTTGCGAGATTGTGGTAGCGAAAAGGCGCACAGCGCATCAGAACAACTGGATTAACACTCTGAACTTTGTGAGACTGGATAACTGAGATTGGAGTTGGGAAGTTAACAGGAAAGACAGTGATGGCTTACGCTCGTCTGTCGGACGATGTTTCCCTTGAGAGTCCAAACGATAAGACAGAGTTGTCTTGTTTGCCGCCGCGCACTCTCGCTCAGTCCTTCTCGTACAGGAACCTCTTCTGTGCTTCCCTCGTTCTCTGGATGGCGACTTTCGGTAGCCTGGCTTGGTTTCTGGGGCAGAGGCACTCGAATTACGGTAACCATGTGGTGAGCTTGTTGCCATTCCCGCCAGGTATGTGTCGCAGCAAACAGAGGTTTGATGAAAAGCTATTCTGACAAAGTTCTCCAGTGCCATCCCGCATCGTTACTTTTGATGTGGATCCAAAGTTCCACTATACCGCCAAAGATGCGGGAGAGCCCGCATGGGCGGCTCTCATGCCCAGTATTATCACCCCGGTGTGAGATCCGACAGCAAGGACTGACTGGTATCTCACAGTTGACGATGGCATCATCTCTGTAGCCGATCCGTCGAGCTACCAGCTACCGTCGAGCTACAAGAATCGAAACGTCTCTGGCTCGGAAGTCTATTCTATGTCGATGTTCCATCAGCTACATTGCCTGGTCAGTCTTGCGCAGCTACTACCACGACTGTTAGCTGACGATCGTAGGACTCCGTTCGAGTGCGACTCGGTATACTAGAAGGTTTCATGAATGAAGCTGCTACTGGAATACGTAAGAGGGCGACCTTCTCGCCAGAGTCGCATGTAAACCATTGCTTCGACTATCTTCGTCAGGTGAGACTATCCGCATCGTCATGTTCCAGGGAGAGATGCGATTGCTAACACTGCTACTCAAGGCTATCATGTGCGCAGGAGATTTGTCTTTGGAGCATTCTGTTGTTCCCGACGAATTTGGATTCAACGGCTGGGGTACATCTCATCAGTGTGCGGATTGGGATACTATATGGGATATTGCGGTGCAACACCGGTACGATCAGAGCATCGAGGAGCTGGCCGTATTGAGGTAAACGAACCGGATGCATGCTTCAACGTAGAGTTAAAACAGTAAACAAGATATTGCCAGTCTGCGTCATCTCCGGTAGACTGGGGCGGAAAGAGTGGTTTGAAATTGCCTCAATCTGCACCTTCTCCTTTCCATGTGGGGCCCAATTTACCTTTGCGTACGCAATGTAAACCAGCGCGAGGCTCATATTTGCCATTGATATAGCTCTTCGGAAGTATTTTGAACATTCAAGGATTCTCGACCGTTAGGTCCAGCCGGCCGGCGTGCAGGGAGCGGACATGAGCAGTGGACGCGGCCCAGGTGGTGCACGTAGGTAATCCAATGAAGTAGAACCAACAGTTTGCGCAATCGTGCTTAGCAAACTCTCTTGCGAAACGTACCGGCGTTGGCACCTCGATGGAGATCTTGGTGAAGTGGTCCCAGAGTTCCCGTTGCGTTCGGCACGGGGCGGCTACCTGGGTGCTACGCAACGGCGGCGCCGCAACCTCGCAACTCGACGCACTTTCAATTGCTGCCTAGGTAGTAATGACGCCAACAGACTTGCCCACGAAGGAGAGAATTTTTACCGACACATTGTCGGCCAGTGTCAAACGGCGACGAATGAGAAGAGTGAGAAGGGATGAGGCGAAACCCGCAGAGCCGCGATCTGAGATGGGTGTGGCTGGGGCGCAGCCAAAAATAGCGCTCCAGCCTGCTTTCATGCCACGCGGACCCGCCGAATTGCGCAACACCCAGCCTTTTGACAGCTAACGCCCTCTCAGTCGGCTGGGTGACCCTGCGTCCAGGCTCGTGCTACTGGCTCATCGCCCGTTACGATGGATCCAAGGGGCTTTGTAAGGCTGGGTGACGGAGGGCTGGGATGTGGATTTGTTTGCGGCCGGTGTACGTAGGCTTGTGGAGATGGCTAGAAGGCGCTGGCAGCTGGTGTAATTGTGGACGGAGGCTTGGATGATATAAACACGGCTGTGGTACGCTCTACCAAACTGTCATCCAACAAACATCTCATCCAGTCTACTATCAAAGTCCATCGTCGCTCTCCAGACTTTCAATCTATACCCAGTTCAACAGCAACCCTTCACACAATTAGATCAAGATGCAGTTCTCCATCATCTCCATCGTTGCTGCGCTCGCCGCCACCACAACTGCCACCTACGTTCCCATGAACGGCACTGCCACATCTTCCGCTTACTACCCTACGGGCACTGGTGCTGCTCAACCTACTGGAGCCAGCCCAACCTCAACTCTCCCCTTCACTGGTGGAGCCTCAAACCTCGGCGGCTCAGCCCTTGGACTTATCGTCGCTGGCGGTGTTGCTCTCGTAAGTCTCATACACCTTTAAACCTATGCTAGAACAACATGCTAACGATATCCCAGATGCTATAGATGTTGACAGCACGCTTGCTCGACTTTACTCCTTCTTTCAACCACCCTTAATCGATTCGGGTTCAACATTGGCGCATATGGGAACGGCGTTACTACGGCACCAAGGGTCTCGGGACGAGATCGTTAGCATTTTCGGCGCAACATACAATCGGCATAGACGGATGCGGTCAGATGTATAGACTAGACTCGTGTATAGCAATGGTCGAGGCCTGGAAATGGTCGACGGCTAACAGTCTACGAAGAGACGAGGCAGATACACTGATAGGATAGCCATCTGCACTACCTATAGATGATAACATAACTAAATAATGAAGAAGTATACATTACCTTCAGATTCTATGGAGGACAGTATTTTTCTAGTGTGAACTGCAGCGCAATTGTTCAATTGTTCCTTGTGCGAGGTCAAAGACTTCCACAAGATGTTGCGCGGTGCAAGGTGTAAGTAGAGTGGGGCTCTTAAACTTCCCCTTCCGGATGGCGTGAATGACGCGCGACGCGACTTCCGCGATCTGCAACTTTGGAACTTTACAAGCGCACCCACGTCTCCAACACAGTTACTTCACCACTACAATGACCGAATCAAATGATGTGCTGCTCAATGGCGAGCCTTTGTACGTGGCCTGTATTCACCTTGAAGCCCAATACTGACCGCAACAGTGAGGATGCGCCGCCCGCACCGTCTCGAAACCATTCGGCGTACAACCCACTACACGACTTCGTACTACCACCGGGCACCGAGCGCCACTATTCGCAACAATTCGCCGATATGTACTTTTTGCGGTTAATGCAATTGAAGAAGACGGTCAAACAGAGAGCTGAGGATGCATGGAACGACTTCGAGGTATGCAATAACAAGCTGTGGGAGTGGGGATACACACTTCACGGGATAAAGGAATTCTAACATCATAAAAGCTAGGCGGGCAAAAAGCAACCTTCGTTGAACGAGTGCTGGATGTAAGGCAAGGTGAGCTTTGTTGGGTGGTAGGGACAGTATACATGGAGATGGCCGAGAAGCCCAACGTGTTGAACGACATTGAGAAAGATGTACGGTCCCCTTCGCGAACGCACAAAAGATCATTTCTGATAATCGACAGCATTGGATAGCGGACCCCCCTCATCGCGAAACCTACGTATCCTCCTCCGGCGCCGACGAGATGATGCTGGAAGACGAGTCCGGTCGTCTCAGAGTTACAGGCGAGCCTCTTCACCAACATTTTGTAACGGGATGCATATTAGCGGCACTGGGTACGGAGGAAGCAGACGGCACATTCATGGTCATTGCAACCCAATGCGCAGATCTACCGAGACAACCACCGCGGTGGGAGCGTGACGACGTTGCGCTGTCAAAGCAGAAGCAGAAGGCGCCAAAACGGGAAAGGGCTGGAAAGATAGCCCTAGTCTCAGGTCTGGAATTGACTGGCGCAGACGACGATGAGGTCTCCCTGGATCTACTGGTGGAATACCTGACTGGCGAAGCTGCAGATCCAGCTACACAGGCCGAGGCCTCGAAAATAACACGACTCGTGATAGCGGGTGGCTCACTCGCAAAGGGTTCTCCAATCCTCTCAAGAGAAGACTTTGCCGCGAAGAAGAGCGCTGCAAGACACTACGGATACGATGCCTCATCCTACAACGCAGCACCTACCACGCGCCTCGATGAGTTCCTCTGCGAAATCCTTCCCTCGCTCCCCATCACCATGCTCCCAGGAGCCTCGGATCCTTCCAACGTCGCCCTACCGCAACAACCTCTACACCCCGCACTCTTTCCCAAGACACGCCTCTACGCCGAACCCCCAATAGAGACGAACACAACCCTCAACGGCTTCGACGCAGTCACAAACCCTTGGTTAGGCGACATCGACGGATACCGCGTATTAGGCACCGGAGGCCAAACAGTCCTAGACCTGCTCAAATACGTTAAGCGCGTAAAACCGACAGAGGCTATGGAGATGATGCTGCGGTGGCGCTGCGTAGCCCCTACCGCCCCGGATACGCTATGGTGCTACCCGTTCCAAGACGAGGATCCTTTGATGCTGAAAGAGTGCCCGCACATGTACTTTGCCGGCTGCCAGAAGAAGTTTGAGAAGAGAGTCATTGAAGGTCCTGCTGGAGAAAAGGTATTGCTTGTTAGCGTACCCAAGTTCAGGACCTCAGGCAAGATTGTGCTGGTCGATATGGAGAGCTGGGATGTGGAAGTCGTTAGACTGGGCGTCAAGGGGGATAAGAGTACGAAGCAAGAGATCAAGACAAATGGAGAGGACGCGATGGAAGAGTAGATGGAGGACAGCTGTACAATTGATACCCGATTTGCTGGAGACCATCGTTGAAGATAGTGACGCGACGCGACATTTCGTATACAACGACGATTAACCATCGCGATGACAGGTATCTACACAACATCGTGCACCCGACGTAAACCTAAGAAACCCATCATGTCCAATACCATGTCCGTCACATACCGGAAATAACTGCCACGTCCAACTACCAAGCACCCTAACCCGCATCAAGAAAGACGCGGGAAGTGGATCCATGCATCATAAAACCTTGGACGATGTCATCAACCAAAAGCTTAGCTCATGTTATCAGCCGAATTGTACGAGTTATCTCACCCAAAACGCACTACTCGTACGATTGATCAACCACATTCGAAACAGGGGCTGATTCCATTGATCGAATGTCGTGATGTCAACGGTTTGCATAGGCTTTGTCGATGTAACGTGTACGCACGCTGCGGCTGTGGGTTGGATAGTTGGAAGTGTGTGAGTGGAGTAGAGTGGGTAAGTGGATGCGATGAGGTATGTTGTACATACCACATACGCGAAGATACACAAGATGAATGAAAATTACGACGTGGAAAATGCGATACTGGTATTTTGCGCGAAAAAAGGTGGTATCTAATGTATCAACACGGCCCAATTCCAATGTGAACCCGCGAACGCCATCGCCAATGTAGCAGAACTCCTGTCTCGGTTTGCATCCTAGTGATATATGTGTATTGTACATGATAAGAAAAAGGGAATCTAAGCCGTCTAGGCCTTGAAGTTGGCCGTGGTCCACTCTTCGTACTCTTTCTTGAGTTCACGTTGGACCCAGGGGATGGTGATGGCGGTCCAGATACCGGCCCAGAGGAAGGGGAGAACCCAGCCAACCTGAACGGTGTTAGTAATGAAGAGGCCATGCGGAGAAGGGAATTACGTACAACGTAAGCAGCGTCTCGCTGGATAGTGAAGATGATAGCTGTGCAAACCACGGCTGTGACGATGGCGCCAATGGCCCAGAACAATGTCAAGCGGTGAAGCATTGTGCGGAAGCCCTTGCTGGCCTGGTAACGGAGGTTCAATCGCTGGCGGAACTCGGTACCACCGGATCCGTCGACAGCGCAAATGTCTTCAATGTACGCGTAGATACCCGGACGGAGAGGCGCGCCCTGGGGTAGCGAGGAGATACGGCACGGTGCGGGTACTTTCATGATGCGCAGAATGTCCACGAGGAGGAGTTCGCAACCGATGGCAAACATCATGGTCGGGGCTGGCATGGCGAGGACACGGATGGGCGGGTCATGAGGACATGTGCCACTGCGGGCTGTTAGCTGGGCACACTCGAGATGGAAAGAGGACCTACGCAATAAGTTCAATCATAACAAAGAACCAACCAACCGACAAGTTCCAGTGGAACCAGTCGAGGTACCATCTCTGCGCACCAATGACCCTACAACTGGAGCCCTTCTTCCATAGCCTGTGGAAGCGGATGAAGTACTCGACAATCGACACGGTTCCGAGCAAGGCGGTGCTGATACTGAAGACGGCGTTGGCGGACAATTGGTCGCGCGTCAGGCCATACCACATGCCAAAGTAGAGGCCGATGGGCATGAAGACGCAGTCGAGGATGATGAGGGTCCAGAACCAGAAGATGGACTTCTTGCGCGTGCGCAGCGTGTAGTTGAGCGGCGGCGGGCGGGTGAAGTCCGGGTCTTCGTACGTGACCTGCGTGTGGGGAAACTGGGCGTGGGGATTGGGCGACGGGGCGCGGCTTGGTTGTGCGCTTGGGGTGAGGTTGGCGTCGTTGCTGGCGGCCGTCGTGCTGCGCGGCTCTCGTTCATCGTCGCTCACGCCGTCGACCTGTACGCCGGGGACGGGCAGCGTGTCGGCCTGGCCGGCCGTCGTCGGTCGTGATGCATCGGCGGCAGGCGTCACGGGCCTCAAGGGCTCTGTTGATGATTGCTCGGTGGCCATTGTGTGGCAGCGGTGGCACGATGGAGTGCCCAGGAGAAAAGTGCGGATGCGGCGGAGACAAGAGAAGTCGGTCGCGTCTTGTCCGGATGCCAACGGGTGAGCGTGTGTCTTGTACGCGTCGGCGTATCTTGGGGGGAGGGAAAGGGTGGTATTGTGTCAGCAGCGTGCAGCCCGTAGCCTGCAAATATGAACCACCCATTTGTTGCTTTCGTTTCACCCTATGATGTCACTAGCTTCCAAGGTTCGGGAAAGCGCGAACAGAGTGCCTTCCGTTCTTGGCGCTGGCTTGGGACCCTCGGCGCTGACGCCACTGGGCATACCGGAATTCGTGTTCACCCGACGGCTGCACTGCATTGGGCTTTAACAATTCGATAGCAAGCCATATGGGATAGTTATCTACGTCGAGTGTTATTCATAGCATCACAGCTTGTGTGCAGGCGGCATACGGGACAAACCTTGTTATCCCCTGGTGACCTCGGGACGCTTCACACGCAGCCGATTCACGCGACTAGTTCACATCCGTCCCTCTGACCTCACCACCAAGCCCATCCTCCAATACCGCCCAGCCTGTGGATATGTGAACCGACATTACTGATGGGCATCTTACGCGGCCTGTTCCTGTCTTCTTTTGTGCTCTGCGCATCCTTCGTCGCCCGCGGTAGAGGCGATGCGACGCAGCAGCCCCTACTCCGCGGCAATGACACCACGCTGATCTCGCAGGCCCTCTTCTGGGAACTCGAAGAACTCGCGCGCATTGTCGACATATCCTACTGTGTAGGCACAGCGGGCTTGGGCATCCAGAAGCCGTTCAAATGCGCCAGCCGCTGTGGAGACCGCGACTTTGAGACGTTCGAGTTGGTCACGGTACGTCGCTGCATCCAGCAATGTGTCGCATGAGGTGCTGATATATACAGGCATGGAATACTGGTCCTTTCCTGTCTGACTCCTGCGGTTATATCGCGCTCTCGCATTCTCGTACCAACCCGCGCCTGATCCTCGCCTTCCGAGGCACCTACTCTGTCGCCAACACCATCGCGGACCTTTCCACTATCCCGCAAGAATACGTTCCATACCCTGGCGACGATGACGACGATACTTCAGACTTCATCGCGCCTGTGCTAGACGTAGATGACGATGCGCCACCCGCGGAGCCGCCAAAGTGCGATAACTGTACTGTCCACACGGGCTTCTATTCCTCCTGGCTCAACACACGCAAGGTGGTCCTGCCACATGTGTCCAAGGCTATGGAGAAGTATCCCGACTACAAGCTGGTCTTGGTGGGACACTCTTTGGGCGGTGCTATAGCAACTCTCGCCGGGCTAGACTTCAAGGCTCGTGGATGGGAACCCCATGTGACCACCTTCGGCGAACCACGACTAGGCAACAAGCACTTCAACAAGTACGTGGATGAGCGCTTTAGCATCACCACGGATCACGACCATAACAAACTCCACCGTGTCACTCATGTTGGCGACCCGGTACCTTTGCTGCCGCTATCGGAATGGGGCTTCAGCATGCACAGCGAGGAGATATTCATATCCGAGTCAAGCCTACCCTTCTCGGTAGCCGACATCCACTATTGCGAGGGCGACGAGGATACGCACTGCATTGCCGGGAGCGATGAGGATAAGCCTGCCTGGGGCGTGCCCACCCGCTTCAAGTTCTGGCAGCTGTTCTTCGCCCATCGCGATTATTTCTGGCGACTGGGACTGTGTCTGCCAGGCGGTAATCCGCGAGACTGGTACGACAAGTACCCCAGACACAGCACAGATGACGGTGACGACGATACACCAGAGATCATGGAGTTGTAGTGAATAGTATAGCGTTTGCCTGTAATGTTTTGAATCGTAATTCGTACCCAAGACCCATGTACATGCTTTTGAATTGAGACGTTTGACAACGCCGACCCCATCCTTACGCCGTGCCTGCAGACCATAGTGCGCGAAAAGAGAACGGCCTTTTAGTGGGTGCCGTTCTGGCCGAGTAGAGTCCTCCTCTTCGAAACCGATTCAGCAAGCTCGGCGAGCACCGTCTCGGTGGTTTCCCAGTCGATACACGCGTCGGTGATGGACATGCCGTACTCGAGGCCAGCCTTGCCTTCCTTGGGCACTTTCTGAGTACCAGCCTTGATGTTGCTCTCAATCATGACACCCATGATAGCGGTCTCACCCGCCTCGATCTGCTCAGCAATCGCATGCGCAACCTTGGGCTGGTTCATGTGGTTCTTCTCCGAGTTGCCGTGGCTGCAGTCAATCATCAGGCGCGAGTTCATGCCCTTGGACTCTAGCTTCTCGCGCGCCTCCTTGACGCTCTTCGCATCGTAGTTTGTGCCCTTCTTTCCGCCGCGCATGATGACGAAGCAGTCGTCGTTGCCAATGGTGCCGACAATGGCGACAACACCGGGCTTGGTGACGGAGAGGAAGTGGTGGGGGTGCTTCGCGGAGCCAATCGCGTCAACAGCGACATCGAGCGTACCGTCTGTGCCGTTCTTGAAGCCCACTGGGAAGGACAAGCCCGACGCAAGCTCACGGTGAAGTTGCGACTCCGTGGTCCTGGCGCCGATTGCGCCCACGCTGAACATATCGGCCAAGAACTGGGGAGAAATGGTATCCAGCATCTCGCTGGCCAGGGGCATGCCCTTCTCTGTCAGATCAACGAAGAGCTGTCTTGAGATGCGCAGGCCCTTGTTGATCTTGAAGCTGTTGTCGATATCCGGGTCATTGATGAGACCTTTCCAGCCCACAGTCGTACGCGGCTTCTCCAAGTAGGAGCGCATGACGATGAGGAGATCATCCTGGTACTTCTCCTTGAGCTTCATCAACCGGTCGCAGTATTCGAGGGCGGCGGGGGGATCGTGGATGGAGCACGGGCCGATGACGACGAGTAACCGCTTCTGTGCATCTTTGCCCTGGACAATATCGACGGCTTCGTCGCGCGCCTTGAGGACCGTGTCTCTTGACTTGGCTGTCTGGGGGATTTCGCTCTGGAGGAGGTCGGGCGGCGTGAGGGGGTTGTAGCCCTTGATGCGCCAGTCTTCCGAGTTGTGTGGGTCGCCCACGGCTGGGTTCTGGATGTGGAACTGCGACGACGTGTTAGAGGGCGACTGGGGGCGGTGGTGATGGTGGTGTACGTACAGACATGTCTCTAGAGATGACGTAGGATCTACTGGACAATTGTCGGGTATACGGAAGAGGGAAGAGTGGGAGCGCTGAACAGGACGGCGAGAGTGGTTTTATCTGCTCTTCTTCTCCTTGCAGACGATACCGGACCCTATGAGTCGAATGTTTTCTGGTATGACGGCAGTCGGCGGGATCCTCATTGGTGCATTCGCGCCGATTTTCAGGTGGCGCGGGGTCGAGCCTCAATCATCATCGCCGGTCCAGGCACGCCCGCACACCGAGCGTGTAAAAAGGGCCGTTCGGGCCTTACCTTAATGTATTTACGGCTACGTGCAGTGAGATACAAAGCACTGGACTGGTTCCCACTATCAGATCTCCCCACATGTTCAATAGCGAAGGTAGATGCCTCTTCCACGAATGTGATGACCGCGGGGCTCGTTGAAGCTTCCGTTAAGACGGACATTACTATCACTTTCCCACGAGATCTAGCGATAGATCCATGGATACTAGCAGACATTTGGCTATCTCCAAGCCTCTCAAGATTTGCTTCGACAGGCAGACGGAGCTTGTACGAGCTGCCGACTAGACTTTGACAAGTGTGCCGTCATCGCTACCCACCAGATCTACGTCACAGCCATGCCATACCGAAAGAGCCGTTGCGCGCCAGCATATAGCTACTTCACCCATACACAAAATCGCAACTTCCGCCCTGCAACAATAGATCACTACTAACGTATCTAAACTTTCTGAACTATAATCATCATGGGCGCGCTCGACTACACCACCCTTCAATCCATCCCCATCAGCTACGCGACATGCTCGCTCGGATCGCCCTCAAACCCTCCGCCACTCCTCGATCGCCTCCACGCTATATCCGCCGCAGGTTTCAGTGCAGTCGAGCTTTCCTTCCCAGACATCCTGTCCTACGGCCAAACTCTCCTCGGCCATGAAGCCGAACCATCCAACTACGACGAACTATGCAAAGTAGCCGCCGAGATCAAGAAAGAATGCGACAAGCGAAACCTCGGGATCATGATGTTGCAGCCCTTTGCCAACTATGAAGGCTGGCCTGAAGGTTCCGACGGCCGCAAAGACGCCCTGGAGCGCGCTCGCGGCTGGATCCGCATCATGCAGGCCTGTGGGACGGATATGCTGCAAGTTGGATCGACAGATGCACCGCTCGAGAAACTGGATAGGAGCAAGATGGTTTCTGATCTCCAGGTGCTATGCGATATGCTCAAGGAACACAACTTCCGACTGGCTTATGAAAACTGGTGTTGGTCGACGCATGCTCCTGATTGGAAAGACGTATGGAACATTGTGCAGCAGGTAGACCGTCCCAATATCGGTCTTTGTCTGGATACTTTCCAGACTGCAGGTGGAGAGTGGGGCGATCCTAGAACAGCATCTGGCCTGCGAGAAGATGTGTCGAAGGAGGAATTGGAGAAGCGATTTCAGAAGAGCTTGGAGGAGCTGAGTGCTACTATTCCGAAGGACAAGATTTACCTACTGCAGATCAGCGATGCGTACAAGGTTCCTCAGCCGTTCAATGCTGAGCGTGACGATGCCGGCTTGTTACCTCGTGGACGGTGGAGTCACGATTTTAGACCTCTTCCTTACAATGGAGGATATCTACCGGTAGTTGATGTTGCAAAGGCAGTGCTCGAGACAGGCTTCAGGGGCTGGTTCAGTTACGAGGTCTTTGACGGAGGCGCAGATGGCAAGGCCACAGATGTAGACATCGTATCTTATGCACACGCTGCGAAGAATGTGCAAGACAGGATGATGCAGGAGTGTGCTGGGCGCAAAGTCTCGGAAGAAATGGCGACAAGATAGGTAGTTGCTGAAGCGGTCACTGCGATGATGCCACATTTGTTGTCTGCTACGAAGTGACTAGTATGGAAAAGAAATAATATCCTTTTGCAACAATAAAGTAAGACAGCGAAAGTACTACTGCATCAAGGGCTGATAGGAAGGGGAGAAATGTACCAAATATACGCAGCTTCGCACGTATCTGATAGTCGCATCTCCTCAAGAACCTAACCTAGACCAGTCACTACTGAAGCTTCCCATTGACAAAGCCATCGACCCCTCAACGCCAAATTGAGTTCTAGGATGAGAACACCAGCACCTCGCATCTTCGACTTCACTCTTTAACTCGTCTTGCTCGTCATCGTTATCAACGTCGTCTTCGGCTTACCACAATAGATGTGCGGATAAGGATACGGGCAGCGCGTATCCGGTTTGATCACGCTCGTGATGACAGTAGGGCCCGGATCTGGCTTCGATGCAGATGCTGGCTTTTTGGAGGTAGAGACCGGTGTTTCGGATGTAGAGATTGGCTTTTTGGACGTAGAGACTGGCTTTGTTGTGGAAGCAGGCTGTTCTATAGAGACTGGCTTTTTAGACGTAGGTGCTGGCTTTGTTGTGGAGGCTGGCTGTGTTATAGTGACTATCTTTGTTGAGGTAGATGTCGGCTTTAAATATGTCGGGTTCATGGGCAAGGGCAGTGGTTTCCATTTGAGTGATGTCCATGTCGAGAGAAGTATCAATGTGCTGTGGAAGTCCGGTGGTATGCCTTCGGGGCTTGGTGGTATGCCCTGGGGCGTATACGGTGGTGTGAGAGCCACAGAGTCGGATGTAGATGGTGCCGCGCTCATTGTTGTGCTGACAACGAGGCTCACGGTGTTTGAGCTAGTTGGTGTTGCGACAGAAGTGGAAGGAGTCGGCGACGGGTTTGCGCTTCCTGAGATTATAACCAATACCGTGGAGGTAAGCGTTACTGGAGAAGGAGCCGATTTGGGTGCACCAGGGCCATCTACCACCCATGATGAGGTGAGCGTACTTCCGGTGTTGAGGGACGGATCTTTTGTGACGGTAGACACACATGAAACCGTCGTTGACACAGCTGGAGATGCTTGACTGATATCAGAAGTCAATGTAGAATCCGCCGTTGAAGGCATGTGGTCCACGTATGTTTCCAGAAACCCGATCAGTGATGCGACTTGACTATCTTCCGGATTCCCAAAGAAGAGAGGAGCCGGGACGATGGCGCCATGTATTGCTGGGAAAAGAACGGTGAGGATAGCGATGCGCATTTTGGTTCGTGCCGGTGAGCAAACTTCGTGAACGGAGGTCATTACATATAGTCGTCTATCAGGTATACCAACGAGGCTATCTTTCTGAGAAGCGTCATGTGTGGGTAGTTTCACTGCAGCGATCTCGTGTTCGAGACGCACAGTTCCTTTGTTTCTGTTCGAAGGGCTGTAGGTAGTGGTCTACGCAGCTGCATAATGTAAAACATATGTCAAAGAGACTGTCTTTGTATACTCCTCCTGACGTACCCGAAGATTTGGTTCGATGTCTTGCATACGATTGACTGCCTTTCTATGATAGGAAGGATACGAGAGATCAACGCGAGGGCTTCAGATTTGGTAGGAGAAATATTGAGTACTCCCTGTGAGGGACGAGGGCAATACATAGGAGCAAGCCTCATCAGGTTATCAGCAGGTTCATTCGATAGAGTAACCCAGCGGTGTGTCCTGCTTTTGGGGTATCGATGAGGAGACTATCCGCTTTGACACCCGTTCGGCGGCCCCCAGGCGGTGGAGGTATGATGACGCTATGGGCATCGTGAACGTAGCCTCCCATCAGAAGGATCGTGTTGCTCAAGCTGCTCTATTATGAACGTAACGCAGCACTTTGTGAGAGCACATGAAGAAATTGAGATGATAGCAACATCCGAGATGAGCAGTCGTGATAGTAGTTAGGCCACGCATTTTAACCTCGGCAAAATCGACAACACGGCAAGAGTGGATCTCTCAACCACCGCGTGAAGTGAGTACCTCGCGCGGTAATGTCAAAAACGGAAGACAATATTGCGCGAGACAGAAACCAAGGGCAGGAGAACCAGAGTTGGGCCATCATTGGTGTTGGTTGGATCCCCTTGACAAACAGCACATTCCACGGCCCGCAAGCCGATCCGTCTTCCCGGAATCCGTATCTCCTCCAACGGCTCTGCAGGCACGCCCAATACACATCGCTTAGCATGTCTTAGACAACGAGCAGCCCGAGGCAACGTATACAGCGCTATGCAGTCATCAAATCTCCAAACCCAACGTTCCGTCGGAGCAAGCTAGGCCGCAAGACGACGGAACCGCGGGCCTGCTTCCAATCCACGGGATACGTATCCCACCACCACACGCAGACCCACCAAGCTTTCTCAACAGCACGCACGTTTATGAAGCTGCCTTTCTATTCTAGATAGGGCTTTCGCGGACAAGCGGCCTTGAACTACTGTTCTGGATAAGCCAAGGTGGGCTGAATAGGCTGAAAGGGTGTGTGCTCCCCGCTGCCAGGTGCTTGATATTGCTGCCGCGCGTGAGGCGCCACCAACGCGGATAGGATAGATATAAGAAGCGGCTTGTCTGTACGATACAGTCCAGACCCTGCGTTTGCGCTTTCAGAAAAGTTCAGATCCAACATCATGCCGTCTACTAAGAGCAAGAACATCATCATCACCGGCGGTGCGCGAGGCCTCGGCCGCTGCACAGCGCGACATTTGCTTTCGTTACCGGCATCGCATCGCGTTTTCATCATCGATTTCGACAAAGACGAACTGAATTACGCTGTAAACACACATCTGGCCTCCTACGCACCACGCGTCAGCTCTTCGATAACCAACCTCCGCAATCCAGAGGAGATCCGCAGCGCAGTTGCCAAAGCCGCGGAATTCTTCGGCGGTCGCATAGATGTCCTTGTCAACAATGCAGGTGTAGCGCGAGGCTTCTTCAACGCGGGAAATGGGACCATGGAAGATGTCGCTACGGGAGAGCAATGGGAACAGTACATTGCTACTAATCTCAGCGCACCCTTCTATATGAGCCAAGCCGTCATTCCTTTCATGAAGAGCAAGAACACGCAGAAAGATGGTGCGCCGGGTGTTGATCGGACGAAAGATTTGAAGCGTACGGACGAGTTCAATCAGTTGCCGCTGAATCTCCATGGCGATGACAAATTCGACGAAGGAGGCTGCATCATCAACGTTGCTTCTTTCCGCGCTCATCAGTCGGACCCGGATTGCGAAGGCTATGCTGCGAGCAAGGGCGGTGTACTGGCTCTTACACAGGCCATGTCTGTCTCGTGCCAACGCTGGGGAATCCGTGTTATGGCGATCTCACCGGGCTGGGTCAGCGTGCAGCACGAGTGCAAAGCTTATGATCTGCAGATCAAAGAGACGCAAAACGGATCGTACAAAGAGACTGCACCTCATGAGGAGGAAGCGATGAAGCTGAGGATGAAGGCCTGGGCGGATGATCTGGACGAGCTTTACCACAAGCAACATCCAGCCGGCAGAGTGGGCAGAGGAGAAGATCTCGCTGAGATGGTCGAGTACGTCATGGGTGCGGGTTTCTTGAGTGGACAGGAGTTGATTCTGGATGGTGGTGCGAACCGAAGAAAGAACCCCAATATCTGAGAAGTCTGTAGAATCAACAAATAGATGAGCGAAGCCAACTCGTCGCTATGCATGTGCAACAAATGCTTGTATCCTGTCTGGTACTCCACCAACGCCATGCTTGCGGTCGTGTCATAATATCAACGCCAAAGTGAGCAAGAAGCAACTCTAGGAGAGGAAACAAGAACGCCGGGGTAATCTGTTGTATCCCAACTGGAAACCTAATCACTTGAAGAGAACTTCAACCATACACTTGTCATCAAGATCGCACTCTTCCACAGTATCCATGGGCATTAGCCGCTCACCATCAAACATAAGCGTGATTGGCTGACTTTTATCGATCTTTTGGCTGTTCTTGTAGGCACTTGCGATGTGGGCGACGGTGGTCTCCTAATGACTAGTTAGCATTTGGACAAGGCTGATGAGGTTTGGCGTCGCACTTTTGTGCATACTCCAAAGGGACAGTCGACACATACCTGTTTGACTGTCAACCTGAACTCGGGTTTACCCTTCGCCTTGAGGATCAACCTGACCCGGTTGGAAGCGGGTTCAGGCTCGGGCTCTGGTGTTGGAGTCTTTTCTTTTGCCACGGCAGGTGTTGCGGCGGCGATCTTTCTCGCCTCAGCTGCCGCAGCCTCATCCCTCTTCCACTGCCTGTAGATCTCCTCTGTCCACGCTTCGACATGAATCTTGGGGAGGTTGACGTCGTCGTAAATGTTAGAGTCTCCTTCGACGGATAGGTTGCCGTTCTCCACCTTTATTCCTAAGCGCTGTATCGATGTGCTATCGAAGAGGCGTGCGCCCTTCCATGTGAAGAAGACGTTGCGTGTTGTTTCAGGCGAGAACTTTTCTTTCTGACACCATGCCAGCCGTGGCTTCTCGATGGTGCTGTCTATCCTGACCTTGACCATCAACGGATTTGCGCCGGGTATTTGTGGGTCGATGAAGAGCTGCGTTATGGGTGCTTTCGGAGCGTCGCCGTTTGATGCTGCTGCGGCTTGCGCCTTGGCCGCTGCAACGCGCGCTCGTGCCCTGGCCTGCAATGCAGCTATTGTAGGATCCAGGCCTTCCTCATCTTCCTCGTCGTCGTCGTCATCCTTGATCTCTATAGGAGGTGGCTTCGATGGTCGAACGGCTATGGGCTGTTTGTCATTGGATCTCGGTGGTTTGTAGTCCAACTCAGACTTGTCGTTGTGCGGCCTGGAAACATAGCCCGAGTCGTCGTCCAGGTCTGAATCGCCTAGGTCAATGACGGAAGACGTCTGTTGTGGCAATGAAACACTCGAGGAGGCGGATTTGGTGAGGGAGTCGTACCGTGCCGTGAGCGAGTCCGGCGGCGGATGCGATGGCGCGGGAGAGGGGGACACTTTGCTGCGTCTGGGCTATTGTTAGTACTAATATTGCGATGTAGGGCCTGATGCGTACACTTTGCTGGCGGTCCTACTCGCCCGCTCTCTGCTGGCTGAGCTACTTTTGGTAGGCACGGGCTCTTCGGTGTCGTTTGATATGCGACGGCGCTTCTGGTCGCGCGGCTCAGAGTGTTTGCGCTTCCTGGCTGCCTCGGCCTGCTTCTTCTCTTCTGCGCGGATCCTCGCTTGCTCGGCGACTATGTCATTGAACTCGTTGGAGTGGCTGAACATGTCCTCGCCGTCTTTCTTGGGCGCATCCTGCCATGCCGCCCGCTTGAACAGGCTGCGTTTCTTGGGTGGTGCGACGCTTGCGGGTGTGTCGGTCATTGTTCGGGCGGTGCCATGGGCGGTCTGAGTGGGCGGAGGAGGTGTCGTGCTACCCCAGGGTAGTGTGTAGGAAAGGGCAAGGCCGCTGTCGGGGCAGGCGCGGGTTGGTGCAAGTGGGGCCTCAACGCGCGCAGTCACGCTTCTCGCGATGAGGAAGAGACTGGGCCCGTGCACTCTGCCTTTCCACACGACCCAGCATCGCCATCTCTCACGTCCGCATCATCGGCGACCGACTTCAAGAAATATCTGCTTACGCCTACTTAAGCATCAACGTAAGATCTATCTAGACGCGTCGTAATAAGTTGCTGATTGTTTGCTAGAAAATTCGGCATCACCACCACCCTCATCACCATGTCCACCAACGGTGAAAGCCCAGCACCCGAAGCCGCCGGTGACTCTAGAGATCCTAGCGGCTTCCTCAGTGAAATTATCGGAGCTCCCGTCACCGTCAAGCTGAACTCTGGTATCATCTACAAAGGTAGCCCTTGACGTGCCTATGATGCACATCAATTACTAATCTCCATATAGGCGACCTTCAGTCAGTAGATGGCTACATGAACATTGCACTGGAGCGATGCAAGGAGGTGTCTGAGGGACGCGTCACCCGGAATTGGGGAGATGCTTTCGTCCGTGGTAACAATGGTATCCAACACACCACTTTGCTCTTCACTTCGCTTCGTACTAACGGACGTGCAGTCACATACATCTGTGCAGACAAGGCATGAAGAGCCGCAGCTTTTCAGTCTAGAAGCAGGGTGGTCGCGGCAACAAGCCACACGTGATGATCGATGACCCGTATCTTACACATACTCAGCGCCAATAGGAGCTTGGACGACTGTCATGAGGTATACACCTGACGCTTCCACGAATGATTCAATATTAAAGCTGATTGTCGGGTGGTGCAAGTGACAGTCACGCAAACTTCTGAACTGCTCTTAAGTATCTCGGCGCCGTCCTCTGTATCAACTCACCGTCACCTCCACCCCAATATGGTCAACGGTGAAGACTATATACGTATTCCTCTCATTCCCGCTCTCCTTCACCATGTCGTCACTGTCTCCTAAATTTGCAATCCCTGTCCTACGACTGGTTCACCTAGACTTTGCGCTGTCGCGACGCGCACTGCGCTGTTGGACCCTGCAAACATTGTGGACTTGTCTACGCGCAGCTACTGTTAGCATACACAACAACAAGCCGCGCCTCTACGTCTGATTTTGAATTGCTCTTTACAGATCTCACGCATTGCCGCACCCGCATCGCTCGTGCTACGAGTGGCATGCACTAACCTTCTAATCTCATCCAACCCAGCTGCACGTTTTGCGATGACTGTGCCCAAAGTCAAGTCTCGCGCCCAGCTCCGTAGCCAGGCGAAGTCGCGAAGAACCAGCAAGAAGCACCACGTCGAGAAGCCGAAAGCAAAACAAACAAACAGCGATGCGCAGAGCCCTACAAAAGCAGCAAAAGGTAGACATCGTTGCTTCAAACCGTATATCCACCAAATGAATCCGCTGACTGGCTCAGTGTACACGGCTTCTGTTGAATCCAACGATCCGATTTATGACGATAATAGCAACCCTGTTGACGATAACGGATCGTCCTTCGCCAGGCGCCATGTACTAACTACTGACGATCAAGAGTCTGCCGGCGCCTTCAAAAGCGGTCTTCGAACCGTACTAATACGTGACAGAGCCCCTGTTACCACGGACGGTTCAGAAGCAGCCCGTAGCGCTACGGATGAGCAAGATCACGAGACGAGCGGTACCTGCGAGAGCGGTAATCGAGATGAATCAGGCGATGATGGTATCTCTGCTATCCCGTGCGGTTCTGGCGCGCCAACGGAATTTGAAGATGAGGATGACGACCCGCCTGCCTCTCTTCTAAACCTGGCGCCTATTTGGTATCCTCCGCCAGACTGGTCTTGGCCGGACACTCTGCCAGCGGCAACGGAAACTACATTAGGTGACTCTCCTGTCGCTGAACTTGCTACAGCGGGCCCTTCTCAGTTGTCAGAGGAGACTACAGCAGATGCATCATCGGGGGTGGCAGTTGCTACACCAGACTCACCGTCGACAGGGCCAGATGCGACGGTCGCAGTAGCATCCGCATCAACAGTAGTTACAGCACAACCAGCACCAGCGGCAACAACCACTACGGCAGACCCATCTTCAGTGTCGACAGTCGCTCCAGCAATTCTGACTCCAGTTGTGGCGGTCACTGCAACAGATCGCACTCCAGCGGTAGCCATCACTGCAGCAACTTTGGCTCAGGTATCGACGGGAAGCTCAAGAAAGCCCTCTCTTGGCGCATGGCACAATTGGGTCGTCGAACTCTTTGCGGGACGCAAACCAGTCTCGCCTAAGAATGACGATGTCAGCAATACACCACCGCCCGTCTCGATCATATCCTGGACTAGAGAGGATCGCGACTCTGACGCAGCGCTTCCATTGCCTTCCCAACCCCACCTTGAATTGAGATATCTCATCCCTGCGACCTTTGACAAGCGGATGAGACTGAACTATCATTCCAACATTCACCCCGCGCCCCAACATGACTCTGTCGGCAAGGTCGCGACCCATGAAGACGCATCCCCCACGAACAACGTACAGCGCGGCTTCGTCGTAGCAAACCGGCCTGCTTCAGCCCCATCTCCACCACGCCGCGACATTGATCATTACAGCAGTCTGCTAGCTCGTGACGACACCAACTGGGCGGAGTGGAACAAGTTGAATATTACTGCAGACGCCATGCCCTTCACACGGTCGCAGTCGGACACCCAGTTGCTGCATCCTCAGACCGGAGCGAAGATGGCACGGGCAAACGGTCACCTGACTAAGAGCCAGACTGGTCATGCTTTTCTAGAAGATGCCGGCCACCGGTATCCATTTGGCCAGGGACCGGGCTGGTAGTGATTGAGCAGTCAAGACATCTCTTGAACCGACTGCACACTTGAACACGTCCACCCAGTGACGAAATCTGGGACTGGATCAATTCCCAACGACTTGTATAACAAAAGTACGTACCACATCCTCCACCGCAGCAACTAAAGCTAACGGCTGAAATCTAGACTGCTTCTTTTCTTCCCTTTTTCTGGTCTTGCGTCTGCAGCATTGGAGCGCGACTATTGTCCGCGCGAATGGCGTCTGCAGTATTGCCGTGTCGGCATGGCTAGGTGCAGCTTTGCTCCACATCCAACGTGTGACGTGGTCCGAATTGGAATGCTCTTAGCTACGGGCGGCGCATACTAGGCGCGTCTTCAATCGGGCCGAGGACCGGCAGTGCTAGGAGGTGCTTTTCTTTTATCAGGGCTGCCCGGGGCGCTAGTAGGCGAGTTGTCGCTGAAAACGGTCGCGGTATTGGGATGGGTGGCGTTCAGCGGCAAGATCGTGTCTTTTTTGCTTTCTTTCTGGGAGATACCCTGCGTTCAATGTATACATATTAGAAGTTGGTGTGTCATGATGTGCAATGTGATGTTATGAGTGATGAGATTGTGAGCATCACCCTGGCTGGCGAGCAGCTCAATGTAGCAGTAGGCGTCATGATGATAAGGTGGCGTGTATTCATGTGTAGCAGTCGTTGTATCATGTACTCGTCTAGGAAATTCGTGCAGTCAGAAAAAAAGAAAGGGAAATAACGCCATTCCCGCATCGTCCGTTGCGTCATTGCTCTGCATATCCAGCAGCGAGCATCAACGTTGAATCATCCCGTATACCTCCTTCTCTAGTTCGCTTCCCTGATCGGAGTGAAGACGACCTTAGCACTAGGCTTAGGCAAGATGGTCGACCGCCAAGTGAAGAGGCGCTTCGCAGTCGGGTTGACAAGCTCACAGTCGTAGTTCAAGATGACTTGTCCGAGGATGACCTTCATGACAGCTGAGGCGTAGAATCTTCCGGGGCTATAACGAATCGTTATTAGTGTCTTCGGTCACAACAATTGAAATACAGCAAGAGACTTACCAGGCCATTCTGCCCGTTCCCCAGACGTGGAATGTCATGTCAAAGTCAGTCAGTTTCGTTGGCTTCTTCTGCATAATGTCGAAAGCGCCATCAGCATTCTCCAGGCTCTTAACGAGTAGCGGGTCAGCAAAGCGGAAACCGCTGAATGTCGTTGCTTCGGGGTAATCGACGGGGTTCGTCATGATGGCGCGGACGGGCGTGCAGAACCAATCTCCAATGTTGACGTGGGTACCGTCCTTGAGAGAGAAAGGTTGGAGCGCTGAGCGACGTGTGCTTTGCGACTCAACGGGTGTCAAGCGCGCAGACTCCTTGATGAAGCTGTCGAGAAGCGGAAGTCCAACACCGCTTTGCTCAAACGCGGCGTATTGGGACTCGCACTCCCTCCGTAGGGGTTCTACGTACTCAGGGTGGAGGCAGAGGTCGTGGATGGCGAAAGTTACGGTTGTGGAGACGGCGTGGACGGAGCCGAACCAGATGGCCATCAGCTCGTGGACGACACGCTGGGGTGTCCAGGGCGCGTTCTTGGGTGATGTCTCCATGATCCATTGGATGCAGTCGGCGTGTTGGGGCACCTTTTGGCCTAGCTTGGCTGCGTCTCGCTCGATGCATCGTTCTTCGGCAATGGGCAGAAGCCTGTTGAAGATGACAGCGTGTGACTTGAGTGTGCGAGCGATGATGCCGCCGACGATGCTGTACGAATTAGTAAGGAGGGCTGATGTGACTCGGCAATAACACTTACGGGGTCATGAACCCGGGTAGCAGGCGAACGATCTCAGCGCAGATTAAAGTCTCTTCGATGTAGGCGAGGGCGGAGACCATGAACTGCTCATCCTTTGCTGCCTTCGGTCAGTCATGCGCGAAGAAATGAGCGAGGTGCATGGCATGAGACTTACCCAGATCCTTTCCAAAGAAAGATACTGCATTCGACAAGACGACCAACTTCACAGTCATGTGGTACACATCCGACTGCTTCTTTCCTGTTGATCATTGTCAGCAGAGTTACATAGGTCAAAGCCTCGCGTTGTATTACCGTTGATCACTGGGTGTCCAGCATGTAGCTCCTGGAACCTGGTGCGGATGATGCAAGTAAGGTCAGGAAGGATCTTGGGCAAGTTGTTGGTCAAAAGTGTACGAAGAGCGCGGATAAATCCAACACCCTCAGTACCACGTCGGTCAAACCAGTTGAAGCCGTGCCTGCGACTCGTTAGTAGACCGAATGCACAAAGACTGACTTCGAGAAGCGCGAGGGTCGTCCTACATAGTGTAGAGGGGCTGTAGCATCTACAATTTGTCAATAATCGCCAATAACGAAAGCTGCCGAGGAGCTCACCTGCTTTGACGCTGCCTGAAGTGACAGCACCGTATCTGGCGCATTGTCTAGCTCCTTGATCTGCTGAGGGTCGGAGACAAAGACATATCGGTTATCCGGGGCGAAGAGCTCGAATGGCTTCCCTTTCGCCTCATCAAACGCTTTCTGGATGATTTCAGGGCCCCAGAAGAGATATGCCCATGCCTGGTACCGCTTGGTGATAGGCTTGAAGATGGTCTTCAAGATCCTTGATGGAGAAGAAGCCTGGTGAACAGGTCAGTGTACACTCATAATGCATACGGAGGATGTGCATCCGGTACGTACCAGCTTCTTCGCAACCAAAGCCTTGTAACAAAAGAAAATCGATATCAAACCGAAGATGCTGCTCGCAGCATTGACCGCCAATGGGCTGAGCGCTGGCAAATGTACGCTCTGCATCTCTAAAAAGTCCATGATGGCAGTAAAGTTTGGTTACGAAGTAAGACCTTAGATTGGGCTAATAGGCGCGGGGTGTCAAGCATTGGTACATATAGAAAGTTACCATATCGCCGTTGCTCTAGCTACAGGTTCTGCTGCGCGGACGAGCCGGTTGGAACGACCCGTTACATTACGTCTAAGCTTCTATGCAAGTAAACTAAAGTCATTGTTGGCTAGCTGAACTGTGCCACTGCACTGCAGCACGATCGAATTAATGTCAGGCCATCTGCATGCTACACAAGCTGCGTCGCTTGATGGACGCTCTCACCTATCGTGTGTTCCGCGGTCGATGAAAAGACGAGCAACCCACCCTTCTCTAGCGCTATCACAACGTCTGCTGTCCTAGAAAGTAAGTAGACCCGATGCAACTACCACGCAGAACACGAAGCGCCTCGTCTGTCATGCTGGAAGGACCAACGGTCCGATCCATAAGGGTGTAGTGTGGCAATCGGGGAAAACGGTGAACGTCTGGACGAGTCCGAGGCTGCGGCTCTAATTCGAGGCTTGTGCGCAAACGCACGAACGCGTGGGCGAATCACAGCTGGATGAGGAAATGTTCCGTGCGCTAGATGACGGAAGAGGCCCTTCAGGACCCCTGACTATCGATACGGCTAGGTCAAGCCGCGACCCTTGACGGACTGCCGCCGACCAAGATGGCGAATAGGTGAGTGCACGGCAGGCTATCGATGTCGAAAAGTGACAGTTGCAAAGGCGCGCTTAGGCGGGTTGTGCCCCACATGGCACCACTACCAAGAGGTAGGACCGACCGCTCACGTCTGATTGGAGGACAAAAGCTCTGGTGGAGTCAAATCCGACGTCGGTCTTGTATCGCATCTGTACCTCGCTGCACCTAAGGAAGCGACTTCAAGGACAGAGCCTACTTACCGCTGTATTCCCAGACCAGCAAAAGGACCTACCTCGGCCGTCCTTGTGCAAGCCGCCAGGTGACCTAACACGCCTTCATATTTTCCAGGGTCTCTCGAAGCAGAACAAGGTTTAATCGTCATTACGTGCATACAGAGATATCGATAGCGAGAGACAAAGGTAACATCGCGGGTAGCATTGCCTGCAGGCAATGAGGTCCAAGGCCCGCTTCTCCATGGGTTCCTTTCTTTTTGATCATGCACACCTCTTTCCACGTGTATGGGTACGGATGACGCGGACACACCCACTGGCCCGGCTTGGATCCTGGTAGCAATGCCTACGCACGTGCGGTTATGGATTTAAGCAGGCCATCGGTTCCGATTACACATCCGGAGTACGTTTGCGTTTTAACTGGAGATATACCAAGAGGCTTGCATGTCCTAGTACCCCATCAGGACGAGCTGGCGAGAAAACTCCATCGTCCGGATATATTGTAGCTAGAGCCAGCGCTGCCATAGTACGTCTTGGCGTATACAATCGACTTCAAGTAGATTTACCGGATGTCGACCGGATGATAGCGAGTAGTCGAGGTATTTTTTCCATGTGCAAACGAGCTCAGACCGACTTTGTATCCTGGCACCGCTCGAGAAGCGACCGACTAGCGCGCACATAGCATCCGCATACGTGTACGCGGGGGGAAGATGGCGACTGGCAACCAATGTCTTTCTCCACCAGCATTCGAGATCCAGTCGAACATCTGTACAAATCGCGCCACATGACGCATCTCTTCCTGGTCGAGGTTGCTCAAGCGAGCAATCGCAGTCGTAGTGGTGTGCTGCGACTAAAGTTGCAACTCTGCTGTACTCTTGCATGATCTTATAGCCAATGGTTCTGCTTTTGTTTCCACGCAATATCGTTTAGTTGAAGCCATAATTCGACGTTGATTCTCCGGTCACATGCAAAACCAAACCAAGCCACTGAAAGACGAGACATTCGTGATATCGCTTTGAGAGACCCCACGCCTATTCCTGATGTGGAAGTCTGCCGACCCGAGCCGTGTGTGGAGCCGCGCGGTTGACGCACTGTCGTACAACCTTCCTCAAAAGATGGCAGCTACTGCAATGTGAGTAGTACGCGGTGCGTGCATTGCATGCTGCAATACCGGAGCAACTCCCTAGGTACTACCCTGAAAATCATGCCGTTCGATGACCCGCTCAGTCGCGCTAGCAACAAGTGTCGCGGGAGGCCTATCGATTGCAAATTCGAGCTTGCTGCTTTGCGATCATTGGCTCGGCCGTCTCGGTGAACGCCGCAATTAACAGTATATTCGGCAGAATGTACAGGTCGGTAGCCGCGTTTGCAACATCGACATCGATGCATGCAGAGCACAGTGCTAGCTTGTTGGGAGGATCCGGCTGTTACCTACCTGCTGCATCAAATCCTTGCTCGTGCAAACAGCCCAATGGATGTACAGTCTAATGCAGAGGGCTTCCGAGGAGAGCTGAGCGGCGGGACGTTTCCTATCACTGGCGGTCCATTGGCATCAGCATACTTTAAGTGTTTGGAGTGTCGAGTGCTCTTCGTTGTTCCTATGATCTGATTAGCTTAAGCATGGAGCTCATCATCACGCCCACACAGGCCCTCGTGCCTTTGTCGGTTCTGTTCTTAGTCTACCACGCAATTCGGGCATTGTTTTTCGGAAAGCCAGAGTCCAAGCATTGGGAGGAGCTGCCAGTCGTGGGCCTCCAGAAAGGATGGTTTGAATGGGTGTGGGCGACCTTGAAGTCTATCCGGAAGACCCAGGACTGGGCGTTTGAAGGGTATCGCAAGGTATGATAGTCTTTGATATCAGTAGAAATCTACTCATCCTTAATCTTCTAGTTTGCCAGCGTAAACAGCCCTTTCATCTTACCTAGCATCGACAGAGGAGCGATGATAATCCTTCCGCCTCGTCTGATCAAGAAGGTCTACTCACTGCCAGAGTCCACGCTCGATATCCACGCGACGCAGAGTGAGACTATCCAAACGAAATGGACAGTCTGGGACAAAGAAGTAGCCGACAATGACTTCCAGATCAACGTCGTGCGTCATCAGATTACGCGGAATCTCGAGCATTTGACGCCGCTGATGGCCGACGAACTTGACAGAGGCTTCGAGCGTTGGTGGGGAGGGAAAGGCGACACAGAGTGGAAGGAAGTCGCAGTATGGGATGCTTGCTTGAAGTTGATCGCTGGTGCAAGTAACGGCGCCTTTTGCGGCGCGCCGCTGTGTAAGTCGCTCAGGGTGCCTGGTTGGAAGATGCGCAAGCGCTGATAGTTTCGCAGGCCGTGATGAACAGTTCTTGAACGACCTTAGAGATCACGCAATGAGCATCTTTGCCGGCGCTATGCTTATCAACGCATCCCCTAAGCCGCTCAAGCCAGTGACTGGCTTTCTTGTAGGATCGACGTGCTGGTACTTGCGCAGAAAAGCAATGAAGGGCTGCTTGCCTTTTGTGACAGAGAGATTGAACGCTACTGCCCGTTTCAAGGCTGACCCGAAGTGCGGGTGGACACCACCGGTAGGATTCCGCCCCTTGCATTAACGAGCTGCGCATCAACATACTTACCCGGTCCCAGAAAGATGGTCTCCAATGGCTTATCGATGAGTGCTACGCCGCAGCCGCAAAGGGAGATGCAGGGCAGTTGGAGCCGAAGCGAGTCGCGCATCGGCTCTTGTTGGTCAACGATATATCCCTTCATTCGACCAGCTTCACTGTGCAGAATGTCATCCTGGACCTCTTCAGCTCGGATCCGGCAATGGGGTATGTTGATGCTCTGCGAGATGAAGCTGCATCCGTGCTCGCCAAGTCTGGTGGTGTATGGACGCGCGATGCGGTGCGGGATTTGAAGCTCATCGATTCAATGATCCGTGAATCAATGAGACTTAATCCGTTCGCCATTGTCGGACTTCCGCGAACAGTATGTATGCCAACAAGTATTAAAGGACTGGTATTAACAAAGTGCAGGTCGTTCACCCCGAAGGCATTCGTCTCCCAGTCTCCAACGTTCATGTGCCTCAAGGTACCATGATCGCGGTTCCAATGGAGCCAATCCACTATGACGAGAGTATCTATCCCCAAGCACGCAGCTTCAACGCGTTCCGGTTTGCAGACCCGAACAATGTGACTAGCATCGTCGACAACTTTGCAACCAAAGACGACCTTGAGGCTGCTAAAGCGGACACGAACGAGCGGAAGGGCAAGTCGACTGCTACGCTTGACGATGCTTTCCTCGGGTTCGGGTTCGGCCGACACGCCTGCCCTGGGCGATTCTTTGCCTTGAACGAGATGAAGGTCTTCATTGCGCACATGCTGTTGAACTATGACGTTGAGCACATGGCGGTTAGGCCGAAACCTTTGGATACTGTGTGGCTAAAACTTCCGTTGCATGGTGGGAAGATCCGGGTGCGACGCAGGCCGTCAAGTGTGTAGATTAAATAAAGATATCCTCTGTTGATCCTCATCCGGTGTAAATCCGACAGCCGTCGCTGTATTGATTCGAGCCTTTGCTACAGACGCCTGCCGGGCGAACATACTGGTCTGCGCTTCGTGTTCGATATTGATGTTGAGATCGTCATGACGGCTCTTCCCAGGACAACGGCATACCTGCGCAGGGCCAAAAGTATGTCTCGGGCACTAATTTGTTCGTCGTCAATTCGTATGTCCCAAACTCCCGTTCGGGTAGATCGCGAGAGTATTCAGACGCCAGCTAATCTCCCTGGTCGCTTCCTCTCTCTTCGCGCTCGGGGGCGGTAGTGCAGGAAGACCTCCTCATGCAGGATCGCTCATCGCAGGTCGGCCGACTTATGATGCGGGTGTGGGAGGGATTCTTGTGTTCCTGATGAGCAGCGATCTGAATCACACCTAGGGCTAATGTTTAGCTGAATCGGCCCAGCAGCATGTATTCCTGAGAGAAACCGGTAGTGCGTGGAGCGCTTGCAGAGGGGAGTTAGCGACGGACCTCTACACAGATCTCACAATCCGTGGCGTCGTGCTTGCTGCGATGTTGCTGTTTGCGCGACTGCGCTACCTCCCAGAGACGCATGAGGCTAATATCCTGGACGGTTTTGGCATGCTGTTCAGTCTTGGTCGCTACTTCCTGCTATCGTAGCTGATTTACCCAAGACAGACGTCGCTTCCTAGACGGAAACCTACAACTTGGTGCGGACCTTCGAACAAGTCGGGTAACACCATCGCTGTCATCGTATTAAATAGCTCCTTTGATCAAAACCTTCAATTGAACTCGTCGCCATCGTTGCGCGCGCAACTGCGGAGCGAATGGGCACACGGCTTCGCGAGCCAGGCGGGCCTTGTACGTGAGATCATCGCAACTGGCATGTAGACCAAGGTGATCGAGATGCGTCAGTGGCGTTTACGAGTATAGCGGCTGGGCTCAGCTTGAGGTATCAGTATCGTGTGTTGCTGGTTGATTGTTGTTGGAGGAAGCGTCCGCGTCGTCGATGCGCATCCACGCCTCCGTCCCGTCTGGCATCAATCGCGTCCCGTCGTCGGCAAGCCAACTACAGCCAGCTTCGCATAGCACCACAACGCCCGCCTTCATGCGCCTTTCGAGTTCCTTCCACTTTGCCGATGCGAGCATCTCGCCTGCCGCTCCTTCGCCCACGAACAGTTGCGCGTATATGATAGGATCGAGACCGGAGCGATCGGAGATATACCATGTGGTCGGCGGCGTGTCAAGACCGATGGCAGCCTATTCGGCTTCGAATTGCGCGTCGAGGATGTGCTTCTGCAGTTACAAGGATCGGGACGGCGATGCAGTGATGTCCTCGCGGCTGAAATGCTTGTCGTGTAACACTTTGCGCGCGACCTCTCGGATGATCACCGGCCTCGAGGCTACCTCTGTAACTGAAAGGGCTGTGTCACGTTGATAAAACGCGTCTTCCAGTGCGTTCACAAGCGTCGTCTTGCCGGTACATTGGGCGGCGATAATGTAAAGACAGCGACTGAGGGCTGCCTCATTCGCCATTATGTCTGTGGCGAGTGCTGGGGAAGAGTCAGAAGTCAAGGCAGACGCTGCTCTTACGGTAAGTCTTGTTTTGCCGCTTTGGGTAGTTCGGTGTAACGTCGCACAAGCAAACGCAATCCTTCACGAATCACGAAGACTTTCGTCTGTGTAGACCCCGCATCAAGCCACTCTCTTTCTGCAACACTGCGGCGCACTCCTCTCCATCACAACAATGAGCAACTTGCGAACTTTTCGCGTTGTGCTCTCGCGTGATCTCGATCCAGAGATCACATCATGGAATTACACAGTTGCCAACCTCCCGCAGGCCAGGCAGACAAACGCGGCTGGACTTGTCAAGTGCTTTTCCCTTTTTTCTTCGGGAACGGTGCAGGAGATCGTCCTGCGGTTTGAAAGCGCGCCCTCCAACCGTGTTACACGCAAAGAGCCTTTGGACAGACTCCTCCTTCTTTCGCTGGCGGACTTCCGCTTGCGTTGGCCTTCAAAGTCGCCAGATGACCCACCACGCGTAGCCACTGGCAGAGAGAACGGCGATTACGTCACAAGACTACTCACCACCGGCGTTGTACTCAATGGGATTCACTACCACTTCTTTGGTCATTCAAACAGTCAAACGAAGTCCAGATCTTGCTTCATGTACGGCGCATCGAAAGAAGACATCTCTGCCAAGATCGAAGCTATGGGTGATCTCTCGAAACTCAAGTCCGTAGGCAAGAAAGCAAAACGAATTGGGTTGCTTTTCTCTAGCGCAGAGGCCGCGCTTGATCTCCCCCCGGAACGCTGCAGAGACATCGACGACGTCAAACGCGATGATTACGTTTTCACCGACGGATGTGGTCTGATATCTCTTCAACTTGCTCGACAACTGGCCCAGAGACGCAACATAATATTTCGCAATCAGCGCTACCTACCGTCCGTATTCCAAATTCGATATCGTGGATACCAGGACGTATTGACCTTGGACCCTACCCTTCAGGGTAAGGAACAGGTACAGTTTCGAGAATCTATGAGGAAGTTCAAGGATGCGTCCGTTCACAGTTTCGCGGTGGTAGACTATTCCAAGGTTAGATCTCCAAATCGTCTTTTGGTCTACTGAGCTGACTGGACTTAGCCTTACGTCTATGGTAGCCTAAACGATGAGGTGGTGGTGCTCTTGCATACGTTGGGTATTTCGGAGGATATCCTTCTCGACAAGCAGCAGCAGCATCTGCACTTCCTCAATAACGTTGGCCAAGGTAATCCTGGGGCAGCCTTCCAGTATCTCTCATACAGTGGCAGACTCGATCTAGCAGAGAGACTTCTATTAGAAGGCATTGGATCTGTCCACACGCTCCTAGGAAGGATGACTCGAGAAGAGTACACCAAGATGCTGAACAAACGAGACGAACAACGATGTCGGATTCTGATCCGCCGCTCACGGCTTCTCTTCGGTGTTTGCGACCCAAGTAGCACGAATGGTCACCCGGGAAAGCTCAGAGAAGGTGAATGCTTTGTGCGGATAACTGATGTTGACGGGCGAGCGCATACCATCATTAACACCGAGGTGATGGTAACGAGAAATCCATGCCTGCATCCAGGCGATCTCCAGAAATTCAAGGCAGTAGATATCCCGGAGTTTGCTTATCTAGTCGACTGCATCGTGTTCTCAACTGAAGGGAGCAGGCCAAGCGCTGATCTCATGTCAGGCGGTGATCTCGATGGGGACAAATGTGAACCTCTCGTATGCATCTGTCTCGAACTCGCTAATATCTTTCTAGTCTTTGTGACTTGGGATCCAGATATCATTCCACGAACGATGGCACAGCCCGCCCAGTACCCAGGAGGCAAAGAAATTGTAACTTTCGGCGAAGTGACCGGTGACGCCCGAGCGGAGTACTTTGCCCGATACACCAGTGCGTCCCTGGGGAAAGTCAAAAATCTCTACATGAGATGGGCGCGCCTCGGTCATGCCATGAGCCCGCAATGTCAACAACTCAATCGGTTGTTTTCTCAATGCGTCGATGGAAACCACATCCGGATTCCTGACGACCTCAAGGAATTCACGAAGTTAGAGGATCCGTCTGAACCTAAACATACCGTCGCTCCCTCCATCTTGGATGTTCTGCATGATGCTTGCACCCAGCTCATTCTTCAGGCTGACAACACACGACCCAACGACTGCGATGAAGTCGACGTGATGGAGTTCTTCCTCGCACGAGACAAGATGGCGATGTCTGAATTCGAATTACTGCATCTTCTACTGCGCTGGTGTAAGCATAGCGGTGAAGACATCCTCGAATACAGTCACCATCTCGATTTCAGTGCTTTGAGCGATGAGCAGCAAATATGGTTTCTTGGCTGCCTTCCACCGTCTGCAACTGCGCCGAGTTTGGTACGGAACGGGCTTCTCCAGTCAGAACTCGTCACGCCTGACGAGGTGAGCAAGTTTCGCCTAGATCAGCCGCACCTGCACTGGAAGCCGGTCTTCAGATCGTCCACCGGCCGTATGCAAAGATTCTTGCCTACCGTCTCTCAGGCCTTGGGAATCTTCCACAAGAAACTCATCATCTTGACGGTGGATGAACGTCTGAGCGTTGCGATATACGTACCAAAAAAGATTGAAAGAGCAAGCGAAGTTCAAGTCGACACCGGCGTCTTAGTCTTCGCTTTCCCCCACTCACAAGGCCTACATTCACCAAACTACAAAATGCTACCAACCAAGGTCAATTACAGGCTGTTTTGCGATGAGCATATGTTTCAATTGTACGAACGTCAGCGAAGTAACACATGGATCTTTCTGAGGCGTCCTCAGGCTGACGATTCGCTCTACCGAAATGAGAAAAACAAAGGAGACAAACGCAGAGCACACGAGACTACTGTGCGCGACGGACTCAACTTTGACTGCAAAGCTAGCATTGCTTTGGACAAAGTTGGTCGAGGACTTCAGCAGCATATCGGCAAGGTGCAGCAAAATGGGGTATTGGGTGCGGTAGGTTGACGCTCTCTATGCCGGACTTCTACAGTTGCCGTGATACTGATGACATTTAGGAAATATATGTCATCAGCAACAGAGACATCAACTCAATGCGGGTGCTCGACGAGTGGCTTACCTTCGTCGACACTGATGAAGTCTTACCGCTATTTGAGAAACCGAACAAGAACTACGATATTCCCAGATTGAGTTCTAAAGACTGGGCAGACTACGCCGAGACAGTAGTTGCCGTGGTTCGCGACAAAGACTTTGCTCACCTCCAAAAACTGAAGTCTGTGTCAGACCTTTCGACCATCCTTGGTTTGCTCAATGATCATGGTGAAAAGAAGATGCTTTTGGACACGTTCTCGCATGTTCTTGCTTTTGAAGCAAGCTCCGCCCTCTCGCTAGACCGGACGATCGTAGCGTCCACTCTCCTCGACTTCCTACCGAATGCGGTGTACCTGATACCCGAATTCTTCCACTCTCAAACGTGGGAGACTCACAGGTCCTCGTTGGACGAACACCTTATCCATCTGGCCTCTAGTCTACTGAGACATCTCGTCCTTTTGTCGGAGGAGATGGGTACTTTCATCCGGCGTTCAATCCAAATCCTGTTGCAAGAACTGAAATGCATCTCGTCGAGAGAGTTCGCCGACATCGTGGAGCTCATTTCGCTTACGGTCCGCTCTTCAGAAACGGCCTTGGATCTTCTTCTTGGGGTGTTAGAGCCTGAAAGCTCGCGGCTTCTGGTAGGACGGCCGACTGCAATTCGGCAATTCACGTCATCGTTGTTCGGCATCGCGCTTGACCATGTAGATGAAGCATCTAGTGCTCGCGAGCAAAAGTCGCAAGAGTTTCTCGAGCTGCGCCTGGATGGCCATAGCGACGGCTACGCAATGGTCAAGGGCACACTTCGTATCGACTCTTCCTTGAATGGATTGCTCAAAGCTGGCGATCACGTTCGTCTTACAACATCCAATCCACCGCAGAATGATGTTATCGCAAGGCTCTTCTCGATGGATGCTGTTGTGTCATCAGCTGAACCAGGCAAGGTTGCATTTCGGTGCCTTCATCATCCGCCGTCGTACCTTGGCAAGTGCGCCTGGAGTGTTACGCAGTGTGGATCTTTCGTTACAAGCAAGACCTCGTTCGACGCTGTAACTACTTTCTACACGGAGCGCGAAGCTTGTAGTGCCATCTACGCTAAGCTTCTCGGTGTTCCTCCGCCAAACCAAGACAAGTCGATTGGCATCGAGCTACCGGTGACTGTCGCCCCATCACTGAACGGAAGTCAGAATGCAGCGCTCATAGCTTCGATGAAACATTCATTGACGTTCATCTGGGGCCCTCCGGGTACAGGAAAGACTCACACAATTGTCGTCATTATTACCCAGTTGCTGGAAAAATTGCCCAAATTACGATTCCTCGTTACTGCGCCAACACATAATGCGGTGGATAATATGTTGAGGAGGTTCGTGGCCTACCCTGAAGCGAAGAATGGTGGCATTGTCCCTGTTCGGGTATCGACGCAGGTAAGTGCGGTCACCTCACAGGTAATAGTTGTACTCACATCATAACAAGCTTTCCAAAGTCGCTCAGGACTTACGTACATACACGTGTGACGCCATGGTCGGCAAAGACCTAAGCGCGAACTTCCCAGCTAGGCGTAAGGCGCAAAAGCGGATCAAAGAGGCCCGTATCGTGTTTACTACGTGCACTGGAGCTGCATTAGGTTTGCTTCGTAATGAGGCTTTCGATGTCGTTATCATTGACGAAGCCTCACAGCTTACTGAGCCCGCAACCCTGGTGCCTCTTGTCAAAGGGTGTTCGCGTGCGATATTAGTTGGAGATCATGTCCAGCTTCGCGCCACGGTTCAACAAACTGCTGTGGTAACCGGTTATGACGTCTCACTCTTTGAACGCCATTATAATCTAGCACCAAGAGAAGGCGTCGCAAAGGTCATGCTCGACATGCAGTATCGCGTGCACCGCTCCATCTGCGATTTCAGCTCCTCCGAGTTCTACGACAGTAAACTCCATACTGCCGTAGCTGACAACGCGCGTCCACTGCCTCCTTCGCTCTTTCCCTGGCCCAAGACAAATCGTATGGTTTGGGTTGAATGCGCTGCACCTGAAGACCTTTTCCAGCAATCCAAGTCGAATGCTGGCCAAGGCGACGTCTGCAAACGTATCATTCAGCTTCTGAAGGCATCACCGGCATCTAGTGGCTCGACTGCAACCCCAAAGGACTCCATCGAAACCCCTACTATCGCAATATTGACACCGTACACTCGTCAGAAGACTCTGCTTACAACAACAATTCCGAATGCTGAAGTCTACTCCATCGATAGCTTCCAGGGTCGTGAGGCTGACATCATCGTGTTTGTAACCGTTCGGTGCAACGCTCATTACGCTTTGGGATTTCTGGATGACATGCGACGGCTGAATGTGGTCATGACAAGGGCGAAAGCTGGTGTTGTGTTGGTTGGGCACAAAAACACGTTGACAGGTGTAGGGGCGGCGGAGACTGTAGACGATAGCAAGCTGGTTTGGAGGAGATTGCTAGAGCGGTGCGAGGTTGTGGAGTTGCCAGCTCAGGCCGAGGAGAGTGGTTCCACTCACTAATGTACAGTGTCGCACATCACTTTGTCCTCCATATCGAAAGCCTCGGTCTCGGATCATAGCCGCCGACCGCTATCCTCGGGACTGTTACCTGTCAAGATGCAAATGTTCATGACTTGCACGCGATGCAGCAATGCACTTTCTAATGCATCCATTACATAAGGCAATTCGAGACGACCCACAATGGCAGCCGGGAACCCGACGCGGCATCGGCAATCATGCTGGCCAAACATGCCGTTCCATTCCCATTGCCGCAACCAAGTTCACCCGTGTTGCAATGACCACCTCATCCCCGTGTCGCGCCTTAATATTGAGCCTCATGCTTCGCTGTGCCTGCACTTTGTTCAGGCATGCGAATCCTTCCAAGTGTGCACCCGGCTTGTCTTTGCAAGGTCCCAGTCCCGACGGGACGAATCATCAGATTACTATCAAGGCCCCATATTACTTCTATCTTCGTGTGTCACAAGGACTATAACTCGGCCTCGTCTGCTCGGTGACATCCTCGTACTCGACTGTCAAGTGTTGCGTTCGCGTAATGCCAGAGTTTGGCTCCACTTTACTCTCCTCGCTACCATTCCGAAAGCCCGGGCTCAAGATACTGTCTTGGCTATCGTGGCCCAAGGTTGTTTCAGATACGCCCGACTTCCCATGCTGCTTGGCCGACCGAAGAGTCTTGCTCCCGATTGTAGCGAGCTTCACACCCGACCGACTACGCGATCTGTATCCACTTGGACCTTGCTCACCGCGTGAGCTACCAAAGATTCCCCGGCCAAAGATGCGGTCGAATAATGGCTGCAGAGTCGGTATGCAGGCGCCGATGATGATAGAGTTTCCCTCGATACTGGTCCAGATCGTAATGTCGGCCGTATCGTCTGTGTCGCGTTATTAGTACGGATGATTCAACACCGAATGCGGGACTACTCACAGCTGAAGTCAGGGCTCGCAAGCGCTGGAAGTCGAGTCGACTTGTACACAGCTACGGCTGCCGCACTGTTTAAGTGTGAGCGGAAGTTCCAAGACAAGCATACGCAAGCTTACATAGAACCCAGTCCCAGCGCGGCACTCAAGGCTATCTTCTTCTTGAGGTTGATTTGTAGTCCATACAGAACAACGGCGGGATATATCGCGAGGTAGAGATCCACGACGGCGGAGATGGCTCCGCGACGGTCAGTCAAGTACTAGATTTGCTGGCTGTGAACTTACTTCCCGCTACGATGGCGTAGTAGATCAGGATCCATGGGCTCCAGCAAGTACCCTGGACGGAGAAGTCCCATTGCGACCGAGACGGCGTACACTGCGCGAAGATGATGATGACACAGCCAAACAGAATCAACAAACAACCACCGGTCATAGCCCACAGGAATATCCTATGTTTCCGGCTAGGGTTGGTAATTCTCGTCAGGAGAGCGACCACGGCTAGCTTGGGGATTCCGAACGAGAATATACCGGGAGGGAAGCCCGCAAGGGTGTACAATATAGCATCAGACTTTTGCTCGTCGCTGAGCACGGAGAAATGTCGTCCGTTTCCAGCTTGTACGGCTGCTATCGTGAGGCCAAGCATGATGTAGCCACATATCTACACGACGCGTCAGCATGCTGAGCCAGTGAGAGCATTATGAAGAAAGTACTCACCATCGACACTATGATCAGCCAGTCGTCGAGGCCTAGTCTTGATAAAATTTTGACTCTAACATAGAGTCTGGCCGCAACGAAAACAGTCGCTACCGTTGTCAACGAGATGCATACTGCCAAAACCGTTGGACCCTTGGTTTGTTGGGCAAAGCCTTCAGGAAGCTCTTGCGGTACTGCCATATTGCAACAAGGCTAGGTGTGGAACCAAATGATGAGGGAAAAAGTTACAGTGCTGGAACCTAGGTTCAGTTTGATATAAGCTCGACTGGACATCAGACTCTCTGCTTATCCCCTGCGCATGCCTGCAAAAGCACTATCGCCCTCTGACCACCAACACCAGGGGTCGTAAGAGTTCGTGCGCAGTTTCGTCATGTAGCGATGCGGCTTAGACCTGGCAGCTTTCAAAAGTTCGTACCGCCCCTGGTGCCGGGCATGGTTTCCGGAACGACTGTACTTTTTCAGAAGGATGACGATCGTGTGTCAGTCTACGGACTATCTTCTGAACTGGGAAGCGCGAGAGTAATCATTTCCATGCAGCGCGGGCGACGCCAGGCCCACACGTGCTCGCACGTACATCGGATGCATAGGCCCGTCAAAAGAATCGACTGAACGGGTGGCCCAACCCAATCATAGCCATTCCGGTCAGAAATATCTTCTAATAGACTGCATACAGCCTTGAAGTAAGGTCTACGAAAGCAGTTCAGATATGCAGTTGCACATGGGTCTATCTGACTTCCGGTGGACAAGGTATCTGCTCCTGTCGCCAACTTGCTCAGCCAGCGGTAAGCAGACGTCCTGCCAATGACAGGGGTGAAGGACGTTGTCAGGCGGCCCGCTCGGTTCATCGATTGATCAACGGGCGTCCCGTCTGCGGGAGTCGATAACATGATCTTGGGAAGCGACAAGAGAAACAACTAATATGGAAATCTGTGTTGCCTTGGGAGTTCCAATCTTTTCATTCTATACTCATGAAGACTACGCCGCATGTTCCCACATACATCCTTCACATCCTTCTACAGGGTGTGTCTCACAGCAGCTGTAGGATCATCGATGGAGTGACTATTTGTGGTACCTGGATGAGCTGATTGGTCTCCACTTAGCGACGGTTGCGTTGCCGATGCCGCACTAATGTGGCTGTTTAGCCGGCTTGCCGCTCAGCCGCTCTTTCGGGTCCAAAGCCACGGGCCGTGTGGGGGTTTCGGCTCGCCACTGACTCTTTTCGAGCCCTATTCCCCACACTCACACCACTCGCGACAACGGTTCCCCTTTACAAGGGATCGCGACATTCTATTGGTGTTCGTCTCATTCCATCTTGAAGCTCATGGAATGATCAGAACGTTCCAATGAGTAAGTCGAGCAATGGGATACTAGATTGCAACTGCAAGCCTGCTCTATTTACGAAGGATCACCTTTACAGATGTTGGTTATAGCTGATCAGAGGTCCTTCAAGTGGGGGCCGTTCTCCAGCAGGCCATCATTCGAGTGCCAAGACGGACGATGGTATTGAAGTGGAAGTCAGGCCCACTGACTTGGGTGTGAATGCTCCGCGGATTCATCGTCCTTCAGTTGAAGCTTGTCATGCTGCGCCGTTTTTCGCCTCAGGGTATTCTTCTCGCCTGCTGTTGCCAAAACATCCTTCCCGTCTGATAACACGCCGCCATGAGTCGCAAGCCGCTGACCACACCGGCAATGCTGCTGTCCGTCTCTGTGGAGACTCGGGAATTGGACTGGAGGAATTGACTTGCAGTTATAAGGAAGCAACGTATCAGCTGTACATCCAGCAGTGCCGTGAATCCTTTCACCTTCAGCCCGTTTTACCGCCCAATTACTTTCCTCTTACCCCTTGCTCGTTACTCTTGAACTTGTCAGAACTTTGCAAACATGCTGGTCGATCTCGGCATTGCAGTGCGTGCGAACGACCCAAGCGCCGTTCCATGCCTACTGGAGAAGCTGTCGGAATTCGGGGGTAAACCCTCTGTTGATCACAATGACACTCGTATGGCAATGCTTTCGCAGGCTAAAGCGCTCGTCAGAGCGCTGCAGACTCCCCGTGAGACCATGATCGAGCAGAACTGGGCCCAGGTATGTGCTAGATCTTTGTAGAGGTTTCTTTGTCTAAGTGGTGTCACTAGCCCGGTTGCCACACCGCCATCACCACCTGCTATAATGCAGGTGTGTTTGGTGTACTTGGAGACAAACCAATGAAGGTGGACGACATTGCGAACAAGCTTGGAAAGCCTCGCGAACTGTTGGGTAAGCTTGCATACTAGCGAATCGTTCCGCGACCTCGCTTACACTGGTAGCTCGCTTGATGAGGCACATTGCAGCCATGGGTTACATCACCGAGACCGACAGTGATGAATACATGGCGACAAACTTCTCGAAGGCCTTGACTATCCCTATCATCGGAGATGGCTACCCAGCCCTGTAAGTGTTCTCGGTGCTTGAGACGTTGCTAAACTGAGTCCTGTGCTGATCAAATCAGTGGCGGTGGAGCCCACCAGTCTTGCAGCAAGTTCTCGGAGTACTTGCAGAAGAACGACTACCAGCTCACCTCAGACATAACCAATGGGCCGTATCAGTATGCTTTCAATACTGAGCTTGACATGTTCCGGTATCTGGATACACACCCGCCCCTGGGTCAGCAATTCAACAACCACATGGGTGGCTATCGTCAGGGTCGACCAAGTTGGATGGACTCGAACTTCTACCCTGTACAGGAGCAGCTGATAGAAGGTATGGACAACTCCAAGGACGCCGTCCTGTTGGTAGACATTGGCGGCGGTTACGGTCAGGACATCCAAGAATTCAGGTATGCTGCCACAAGGCCTAGTCCAGATTCGTATGCTTATGACCCATTTAGAACGAAGTATCCTCAGGTACCTGGTCGTCTTGTGCTTCAAGATCGACCTTCCGTTATTGATGGGATCGAGCGACTGGATCCCAGCATCGAACGTATGGAGTATGACTTTCACACTGAGCAACCATTGAAAGGTACGACTGGCAGCTGCAGTTACCCATCAGACGCTAATCGACTCCCAGCGGCGAAAGCATACTACATGCACTCCGTGTTGCACGACTGGCCCGACGACGTGTGTAAGAGCATCTTAAAGCAAGTTGCTGGCGCCATGAAGAAAGGCTACAGCAAACTGCTTATCAACGAAAACGTCATTCCGGACAAGGGCGCTGACTGGCAAGCCACTGCTTTGGATATGATGATGATCACCCTTTTCTCTTCGAAAGAGCGTACGTACTCGCAATGGAGCCAGCTGTTGGAGTCGCCGGAACTTGGATTGAAGATCGTTCGTGTCTGGACCGTTAAGCACTCGCAAGAGAGCTTGATCGAATGCGAGCTAGTTTGAGTCTTCTTC